ATGTTGGATGTTGGCACAAGGGGATTGGGGAGGTTTTGGGGGGCATATCTTGGAAGCGCCACACGGACCAGTATTAGGGAGGGTTCTTCTCAATGAATAGTGAGAAGTGGGGTGTGACAGGGGGAGGGTTTTTTCTATTGTTCATGTGTTACTGTTTCAGAGTTGGATCATTTTGTTGTGTTAATCAGTTAAGAATGGGTTCAAGAGCCTGCGCAGAAAAGGTAATTATTATGGGTTTAAGTTGGACAGCACAGAAACACTTTTATGATTCTTGTAGACTTGATTGTCTCCCACTGGATAGGGCACTTTATAGGTAAAACACAAAATATGGTTAATGGCTAAGTATGTAAGGATACTTTCTTGGAATATCAACGGAATAAAAGACCCAGTAAAGAGGAGGAAATGTTTAAGCTATCTAAAATCTCAACAGGCTGATGTGGCATTTGTCCAGGAGACCCACCTGGTTGACTCAGAGGTGGTTAAACTTAAAAGAGACTGGGTTGGGTAGATATTCCATAGCTCATTCAATAGTAAGAAGCGTAGGGTAGCAATTTTGGTGCATAAGAAACTGAATTTTGTATTATTAAAACAACACAAAGATGAGGATGGAAGACTCATATGTGTGGAGGCCATAGTTAATGGAATGAAGTTAAATTTATGCAATATATATGCCCCCAATGTGGAGGATGCAAATTTTTTTCACAAGGTGAATAAATTATTAGGGGGCATTGTCAATGGACATACAGTAATGGGAGGAGACTTCAACCAAATCCAGGATAATGTCCTAGATAGAACAATCTATGGTAAAATTATACCGAAGGACAGACAGGCAATACATTTACTTATGAAAGACTTAGGGTTAGTGGACATATGGAGATTAATTAACCCAAGAGAAAAGGAGTACACTTTTTACTCTCATAAACATAAATCCCACTCAAGATTAGATTATTTTCTAATTTCTAAAAGTATGATTGAATCTGTGGTGGGGTGCAGGATTGGCGTTATTGCTCTCACAGATCATGCAACAGTGGAATTCTGTCTAGCGGCAGAAGTGGATTCCATCAAAAGAAATAGGTGGAGACTCAATACATCTCTATAATAAGATCCAGTATTTGATGGGTTACTGTCTCAGGACCTTAAAAGCTTCTTTGAAATTAATGTCGGATCCACAGAGAAAATAGGCACAGTGTGGGAGGCATCAAAAGCTTTTATAAGGGGTAAAATCATAGCATACTCTTGTAAAAAGAAAAAAGAAAGCATTGAAAAGTTGATGAAACTGGAATTTCAACTAAAAGAGAAAGAAAAGCAGTTAGCAAATAGTTACAGTGAGTCATTACTTAAACAAGTGTGCGCTCTGAAATTTGATTTAAATGAGATTTATAACAAAAAGGCTGAATATGCTCTGTTCAGATTGAAAACAAATTTTTATGAAAATGGGGAAAAATCGGGCAAGCTATTGGCTAGACAACTTAAGCAAAGGGAGGCTGGCTATGTGATTCCTGGTATTAAAAATGTAAAGGAAGAAGTGGTCACTAGTATAAAGGAAATTAATCTAGTGTTTCAAAACTTTTATTCAAAACTTTACACTTCAGAGATAGATTCGGATACAGACAAGCTGAATACATTTTTTTCTAAAATAAAAATTAACAAGATATCCTCAGATCAAGTGGGAGAGCTGGACGCTCCTATTTCAGAATCAGAGGTTAAAGCAGCCATCCGATGCGTTAAACCTGGAAAGTCTCCAGGACTAGATGGCTTTCCGGTGGAGTATTACAAAAAACACATAGATATGCTGGCACCTGTTCTAACTGCAGTTTACTCAGAGTCACTGTCACAGGGGCAGCTCCCGAATACATTTAACGAGGCTTTGATATCATTGATCCTCAAAAAAGATAAGGACCCATTGGATCCAGGTAGCTTCCGACCAGTTAGTTTAGTTAATGTGGATTTTAAAGTGCTCACTAAAGTCCTGGCAATGAGGCTAGAGAATATTTTACCAGACATTATTCATGAAGACCAGGTAGGATTTGTGAAGGGGAGGTCATCCTCAGACAATCTTAGACGGTTACTCCACCTTATGTGGAAGAGCCGTCAAGAAAACACACCAGTAGCAGCCTTCTCCCTTGATGCGGAGAAGGCATTTAAAAGGGTTGAGTGGGGTTTTTTAATACATGTCTTGGAAGCTTTTGGTTTTGGGTCGGGATTTGCCAACTCGGTTAAATTAATCTATACAACACCGAGAGCATCAGTCCTCACCAATGGACTAATGTCCCCCTTCTTTCAGCTCTCACGGGGAACGAAGCAAGGAGATCTGTTATCACCTTTACTGTTTGTTTTATTCCTTGAACCTCTGGCAATCGCAATAAGGGCAGAGGCAGGAATTACAGGAGTGAAGGCAGGAGGTAGAGAACATAAATTGTTTCTGTATGCGGATGACATCCTTTGGCTTTCTGCGGACCTAAATTCATCAGCCCCTATTCTTCTAGACACAATTGAAGAGTTTTCACAAATTTCTGGCTATAAAATCAATTGGCACAAGTCAGAGGTTATGCCAGTGTCTAGGGGATGCTATCCGGCAGCGGTTAGTGCACTCCGATTCAAGTGGATATCATCAGGGATGAAGTATCTCAGTATAAGACTGACTGCTGACATGAGTAATATTTTGCAACTTAATATGACTCCGTTGCTTCAGAAAATAAAGACAGACCTAGACAGATGGAAATCAATAAATCTTACACTTATGCGAAAAATCAATACAATTAAAAATGGTCATTGCCCCTAAGTTTAATTACATATCAATGATGGTACCTGTGACAATTCCTGCTGGGATCTTTAAGCAGTATAATCAGATAATTAAGGACTATCTATGGAATGGAAAGAAACCCAGAATCACCATGCAAAAGCTTTATGAATCAAGAAGAAAGGAGGCCTAGCCTTACCCAATGTGGAACTTTATAACATAGCATTTGAGATGGTAAAGTTGGCCAAACACTGGGCCAGCTATGGCTCACACCTTGGATGGACACAAATAGAAAAGGAAATCACAGCTCCATTCAAACTAATTGAAACCCTATCACAAAATGCTGTGGGTAATCTGACGGGTTGTGGGGGTAATCCAATCCTGCACCATTCTAGGGTTGTATGGGCAAAGCTACACAAGATGCAAAGGATATCCCAATACAGACAAGATTATGCCTCTATCTGGAATAATCCATCTATAAAAATAGACAGGAAACCTTTCCTGTGGAAGTCCTGGCTAGAGGCGAACCTGAATAAGATTGGAAATCTATATAAGGATGGGGTGTTTCTCTCATTTCAAGAAATCAGTACATGTTTCAGCCGGAAAGAGAAAGGAGACTTTTGGCGGTACCTCCAGTTAAGAAGTAGTGTTAGAACCTCAGACATTAAACGAAGCGAAGGGGAAAATGTGATCAGACTCTATTTTGAGCTGCCCAGTTCTGCTCACTAGGCCTCAGCTTTCTATAATATGGTTGGGGATGCCCAGTGTGGGAAACATAATAATTTAAGACTAATTTGGCAAAGAGATCTAAATTGTTACATTGAGGAAGATGTATGGGAAAACATAATAGCAAACACAGGGTGGTCCATCAGGGACATCCGAGGCAAATTCACACGTAAAATTATTCACAGGTATTATTACACGCCAGTAAGACTCCAGAAAATGGGCTTGATACAGAACAACCTGTGTTGGAAGTGTAATGCACAGCCAGGTACCTTCTTACACTCACTGTGGGAGTGCTCTTTGATTTTTCCTTTCTGGAAAGAGGTTATAGGAAAACTGGGTGAATGGCTTGGAAAAACCCTACCAGAATCCCCCCAACTCTGCCTACTGGGAGACAGGTCAGGGTCACCACCAGGAATATCAAAAGCAGAATTCGGTTTAGCACTGACAGGCTTCATCACAGCAGCTAGAATCATTCTTTGCCACTGGAAGAGTCAGACTCGACCAGAACTTACTGACTGGGTTAAGCTGATGACGGATAATGCCTCCTATGAATTGATGATAGCAAGGTTGAATGATAACAAAGGGAAATTTTACCAGGTCTGGGGTCATTTTCTCAATCATATAAGAGAGGAATAGGTTCCTATAACATGTGAGGGGAGGACGACTCGTGTATCTATATTTTATCATATACTCTTTTTGTGGACACAGTGTTTGGTGTTGGGAGGTGTGCTGCGCTGTTTATGGGCTGGGATTTGTGTATGTATGTATATTTATATGTATATGCATATTGTTTTTTGTTTAATATGGTTGATTTGTTTGTGTTGAAGTCTGATGTCTTTTGTGTGATGTTTGACATATAAGAAATTGAATAAAAACTTCAATGACAAAAAAAAGAAATCTGATTGGATAAGAAGGCTTGGCTAAAGTGGGGTTCATATTTACTTGCAGATGGGAGTGTGGTATCAATCTCAACATCAGATTCACTGCAAGAAAGGAAATTAATGTATTTCACAAAATGTCAGACTATTCCTTTGAAGGATTTATAAACCAAACTGTGTCCTTAAATGTTTTATTCGTGTCAGAGTGACACATCAGTCCAGTACAATTCAAATTAAACCAAGCCAGATGTACTCCAGAGATCGTTCTAACTATATCAGACAAATACACTAGGTGAAATAATCTCACCACAATTCCATTTCAACACATCCTCACATGCTAAAACAGGAAGGCCTCTATATTAAGTACACTGACTTGCTTACAGTCTTTGTCCTGTGGAGTGTCCTAAGAACCTCAGCTTTGTAAGTGTGGCACTTCAAAGCCAGATAAAGCTTCCTGTGCAGCAGCACAGACGGCTTTGGTCATTCATAACACTGCTGTAGTAAAAATGAGAGTATTGGGGAGGGCATTTTTATGATGGATGCACCTTAGTTTTACAGAGTATCACTGTACTTCTCTTCAGTTGTAATTTTTGGCTCAACCACAACAGTGGGGCCAGCCCTATAACTTTAACTGTCCTCTGTTGTTTCTTTTACAGTCAATGTCTGGATGATGAGAGGCCTGTCAGGTAAGCTTATCCATTCACCCATCCATCCATCATCATCATCTCTTGAACTTCAGCCACTGTTCTGACTGTTTATCAGGAGTTAAACGCTGTCCACACCAAGAGGAATAACTATATAGATAACTATAGCAACAATGATGTGAACAATAAGGTTTTGTAAACAGTGGTGCCAAGCATGCACTGCATGCACCAGCTGTGTCTGAGCAAAACACAAAACTTAGCATTGATTCTGAGGGTGAGTCTGCCTGCATCCCACATGTTCTTCTTGTTAGTGTCTTTATGAATTGTGTTTGTTTTATCAGTCGGGGTGGATTTAAAAAACATCAGTGATGACTCTCTCATCTACAATGGTGAACATGACGTATTAAAAAGATGTTTTGGCTTATTTGACATCAGATTGTGTGAGGTCAGTAGATATGAATGGAGAAGTAGATACAAGTACTGGCACAGAAGTTGAGTGATGTACTGCTGTTGACTTGGTCAGCCACTTAAAAAGTGCCACCGAGAAAAGTCATATCAGTTGAAGTGTACACTTTATTATGAATATTTCCACTGCTTTATCTTGCCATCAAACAGCCCTTTCCTTTGGAACTACATTTTCTCAACCATTGAACTACCATGTTGTGGTTGTGCACCCAAGATGCAGACTGTATTATGCTGCAGATCAGCTGTTTTTGAGTCAGAAAGCGCTAAGCTCAAGTGTATCCACCCGAGCTGCTTCAGCCCATTCCTGCTCCTGCTGTCCCACAAGGTAAGCAGCTTGCATGGAAGCATAGTAAGTACCTCTGTCGGTCAGGGAGCATGCTTACCTTGTGGGACATCACTGGGTAACAGGCTGGCAGAGAGCTGTGACCCGCTGTGTTGACCCACTGACGTTATTAGTAAATAGCAGAACACACATTCTACCTGTCTGGCAACTCATATGTATTGTGATTGGTTGTCAGTGTTTCTATCATTCATCAAAATGCTCTGAAAGTGATCCCAATGATATTATTCGCCATTGTCATTGTAGTTGTAGTGTGAGATGAATGTGTCAGGACAATTTTTAAAACTATATGTATATAGTGATCTTTATAGTTATTGTTGTCTGTAGGACGACGTTTTATACAACACCTGTGACTGCTCTGCTCTCATCCTCTCTCTGTCCTCTCAGCCACTGACAGTTTCAGCACAGAGCCCACCCCCCTCTGGCCGAGGAAAGCCTGCAATGAGTCACGTCTGCAGTGGGAGGTGGAGATCTGTGGAGAGGACTTCAAGCGCGACATGGCTCACATAGATCCACAGTACTGGTGTAACCTCACACACTTCATCAGGTACGAGCCAAAGTGGAGTTCATCGCTCACAGCAGAAATGTTAGCAGCAGTTTGCAGCTTCATAATACAGGTCAAAACTGCACTGCACATTGCGTTGAATTCCACTAATATTCAGCACATAGAAGAGTAAAGTTACTTCAAAGAATGACTGAGGTGTGGATAAAACTATTGTCAGGAACTGCTTGTCTACTGTCTGGTTGCACAAGCTGCAGGCTTCACTGCACTGTTAGTTCATGAGGTAAAAAACAGCTGTGCAACACCTGGCAAGCCTTATCCTAAGATACACAACTAATGTGGGGAGAACTGGTGAGAAGTTATTGAAGATAAACTGTGCTGACTGACAGAATATCTAACTTTAAAACCAGCCTGTTTAGCCTGTAGTCTTTTCCTTTACACTTTTGAAAAGTCCTGCAGCTCTGGCTTGCTGGCAGACCAGTGGGGTTACAGACAACAATCAGCTGCTGTTCTGTTGATACTGAAGAAGACCCCTGAACCTGATAGATAGATAGATAGAGAGATAGATAGAGAGATAGACAGACAGATAGATAGACAGTCTCTTTGTGTTTGTGTCTGACATGCTGCTGCCCCAGCAGACTGCAGCATAAAAGAATACACTGGTCACCAACGACTGATAAAACATTTGCAGCATTTCACTGCAGACGTCAGAGGACCTGAGCCTCCTGAGGAAAAAGAGCCAGCTTTGTCCCTTCAGGTAGATGGCATCCGTATTCATGGACCAGTCCAAGTGCACACCTAGGTATTTATAAGTGTGCACCACCTCAATGTCCTTTCCTCGAATGTTTACTGGCTGAAGGCTGGGTCTAGACCTACGAAAGTCCATGACCATCTCCTTGGTCTTGGAGATGTTCAGAAGGAGGCAGTTCTTGTCGCTCCATTCACTGAAGGCCATCGTCAGATCCCTGTACTCCTCTTCCTGCCCATTCCTGATACACGCTACATTAGCTGTGTCATCCGAGTATTTCTGGATGTGGCAGGACTCACAGTTGTATTTAAAATCCGCCGTATACAGGGTGAACAGGAAAGGAGCCAGAACAGTCCCCTGTGGAGCCCCAGTGCTGCTCATCACTGCCCCTGAGACACAGTTACCCAGCCTGATGTACTGTGGTCGTCTTGTCAGGTAATCCACAATCCAGGACGTGGAGCAGGGATCCACCCCCATCCCTCCCAGCTTGTCATTAAGGATGGGGGGTTGGATTGTGTTAAATGCACTTGAGAACATAACCTTCATGTAACTACCTGGCTCCCCCAAGTAAGAATGGGCCCAGTGGAGCATGTAAAGGACAGCATCATCCACGCCAATATGTTCTTTGTAGGCGAACTGTAGGGGGTCTGGTGCATGTTCAATCTGTGGCCTCAGAAGGTGGAGAAGCAGCTGCTCCAGGGTCTTCATGATATGTGATGTGAGGGCCACCTTTCTGTAGTCATTTATCTCAGTCGGTCGTCCTACTTTAGGTACTGGAACAAGACATGATGTTTTCCACAGGACCGGGGCCCTCCCTGTTTGAAGGCTTAAGTTAAAGATCCTCTGGAGAGGTCTGTAGTCATTTATCTCAGTCGGTCGTCCTACTTTAGGTACTGGAACAAGACATGATGTTTTCCACAGGACCGGGGCCCTCCCTGTTTGAAGGCTTAAGTTAAAGATCCTCTGGAGAGGCTCAGCCAGCTGGGCTACACAGTCCTTTAACAGCCTCGGTCACACACCATCCGGGCATGTTGCCATTCCAGGATGTAGCCTCTTGAGCCACACCCATACCTCCTCCACTGTAAAGGACAGGAGACTTGACCCCAGTGTGGAGGGAGTTGCAGCTGCAGTGTCAGGTTGTGGAGGAGATGCCGTAGGAGAAGCTGCAGCTGAAGCAGTGGGAGAGAAAAACAGGTGAGGCCGTGTCAAACCTGTTGTAGAACAGGTTGAACTCATTGGCCTTGTCTACATTACCTGGTGTTGCCTCGCTGTTCTTCTCTTTAGAGCCTCATCCCCTTCCACACCTCTCTGGTGTTGTTGTGCTGCAGCTTCCTCTCTACTTTCTTTTTGTAGTCCTCCTTCGCCTGCTTTAATCTCCTCTTCAGCTCATGTTGCACACACCTGAGCTTCTCCCTGTCTCCATCCCTGAAGGCCTCCTTTTTCTGGTTGAGGAGGGTCTTGATGTTACTGGTGATCCAGGGTTTGTTGTTTGGAAAGCAGTGTACAGTCCTTGCTGGTATTACAGTGTCCATACAGAAGTTAATGTAGTCTGTGGTACATTCAACCATTCTATCAAGGTCAGGGTCCTTGCTTTTATCATTTTCCTGTGACTCCAACAGGACATTCTGATCTGTGTACTCAAAACAGTCTTTAAGACACTCACTGGCCTCCGGGGTCCAGTTCCTGAATGAGCGGGTGGTTGCAGCCTGCCTCAGTACACAGGGCTTGTAGGAAGGCTGAAGAAAAACCAGATTATGATCTGATCTGCCAAGTGGTGGTAGAGCTGAAGCAGTGTAGGCCTCCTTGACATTTGCATACAACAGATCAAGTGTCTTATTTTCCTTTGTGGGACAGTCAATATATTGAGTGAAGCCAGTCAGATGAGAGTGACATGGTTAAAATCCCCTGATATTGCAGTGAATGTGTCAGGGTGCTGGGTCTGTACTCTCGCAACAGTCTCGTGAACTAGTCTTGCGACTGCAGGCTCTGCTCTTGGTTGAATGTAATCAACAATAGCAACGATGTGTGAGAACTCCCTCAGTACATAGTACGGTCTAAGACCGACTGCCAACAGTTCAATATCCCAACAGCAGATCTTCTCTATCACTGTTATATGACCGGGGTTGCACCATCTATTGTTCACAAGCAGAACCAGTCCTCCACCTTTATTTTTTCCATTTGCTCCGTCCGTCTGTCCGCTCATACTGCAGTGAAGCCGGGTAAATCCACACAACGGTCGGGAGTGTTGTCGTTTAACCAGGTCTCCGTGAAACACGAGACTACACTCACAATATGCTCGCTGGTTCTTCACAAGTGCCTCCAGTTCATCACACTTGTTAGCCAGGGAGTTGACATTTCCCATGAGGATCAATGGTAGAAAAGGCTTATATCTCCATCTCCTAGCCTTTAGCTTAGCCCCGGCTCTGCATCCACAGTATGACTTCCTCAGCTCAGCCGGTATGGGATGTTTAACTCCATATCTGGTAAACTTTAAATTAATTTTCCCAAAATGGATTCTCAGCAGCAACACACTTTCCTACTTCTTCTTTTTGTTATGCCTAAGGACATCTCAGTGGAAATCACTGGTTGTTTCTTAAAATAGGTTCTGGTGTTCTCTGCCATAAAACGGTCCTGATAATTCAGACTTTAGGAAAGCACCACCCCACAGAGAGCCCGTCAATTCCTCCTGCTGACTCAGAATGAGGTCCTGATATTGAGAATAGCAGACAATTTCCTCAACACACAGGATAAAATGGAAGTTTCTCCTCAGATTAATTTTCCAGTGCAGTTTTAATTTGACAGTGATCAAAGTACAACTGTGCTATCAAAAGGTGAATTGCTACAGAGCAAATCTGTTATTTTGTGTAACAAGCAGTGGAAAGCTATGAATGATAAGAGGTATCTGGACCTTGAAAAGCTTATTCTAAGCACTTATCTCTGTTACTCCTCTTTTCTCAAGTGCTGTTGTCTTCCTGTCTGAGGGTTCTCTATATCTGTAGCTTTAGTTAAGGGGGTGTCAGTCCTGCACGGTGGCACTTTCCAGACAGATAGGTTGATAGAAAACTAATATCTGTCAGTCCCCTGCAGTTGATCAGATGACTGTGGCTGGGTTGAGAACAGTTGGGGGGTAGTTGTTTTCAAGAAGCCTGCAAGCCTGGACCACTCATCTGTATCTATCTTTACTTAGCGTTCACCTCATTCTTACCTTTCACCTTTGGCCTCTCACCTTCATCTGTTTTCCTTTGACTGCAGAGCCACAAGCAGAGGTAGAGAGCCACAAGACTGCTTTATTGCACCATAATATTCACAGGGGAGATTATAACCAGTGTCAATAACCATCTGAGTACTGATTTACTGGAAAACTTCAGTTATTCTGGGAAGACGAACCACTGGCTTTACCCATCGGTCATGTACTCACTCTGGTTTTGTGTCATCATAGTTTTTTCCAGGAAAGTTTGTCATTGAAATGAGCTTAATGCTGCTTTCCAGCAACACTCTGTTTCATACGAATTCATACATACTCACATTCACAAAGTTTTTTTTTCAGTGACTATAAAGTGAAGAAGAGGTGAAATGTGAGATAAAGTTAACCACATCAAGAAGTCAGATGGTTGACTTCAGGCATGATGATCAGTGTAAACATCTGGGAGGAGTGTCAAGAACTGACTCCTGCATTTAGACAAAGATCGGCTGCTTCTCTAAGTGACACGGAATCAAGAATCATTTCACACAAACTATAAACATCATAAGTCATGCTTTTTTTATTAACCTAACAGTAATTTTATTGCAAGTTTTGCTGCCATCTTGACTCGCTGCACCAAGGTGTTTCCTCTTTATGTGCTCGTGCATGACTGTCATGCTAGAGTGATATGCCAGATGCACTTTGCAGAGTCTGCAGACTACTGCACTGTTGTTGTCAAGATTAAAGTATTCCCAAACTTTGGAGGACCGTGTGCGAGCCTTTTTTGCCGCGTGTTGCTCCACACGCTCCGTCGTACTGCTGGTAGACGCCGCCATGTTGTTCAAATAGATTACACAGACGCGAATCATTCACATAGTCAATGACTTCAATTACGTCACCGCGTTGTCCCAGCCCTTGCGCTGCACTTGTATCCGGGTAAACCAAAGACGATGGATATAAACGGTCCCATTAGAAAGTTTTGTTCTATGAACATTTACCCTGTGTGGTTTTACACGACGCGTCGACACTAAAATTCCACGTCGAATAATTTTTATAATCGACAACGTCGATTACATCGGATAATCGTCCCAGCCCTAATGAGAACCAATATGAGTA